GGGGGGGGAGGGCAGGCAGCCTCGGGAAAATGGAAAAAGCAGCGGCGCGTTCACACAGGAGACCGCCGAGTCGCGGCATCTTTTGTGGAAAGAGATTTAAGGCCTCGGACAGGCTTGGGGAACGCCGATAACGGACCGGACTTTTTCTGCCGTGGTAACCCGAGTAAACGTTTTAGATCAACCTTATCCCAACAGTAGAGAAAGCTGCATTCCACGTTCAAATAAAAGGCACCAATTTCGTTTTTTTCCTGATGTCTCGTCTTTCAAATGGATGCTTCTCTTGGGTTTAAATCATTTGAGATGTGTTTTCTTGTTTGTTTATGCTGTAATTATTTTAACTCTGCCCGATTCCTTTTCTTTCTAGTTTTCTTCGCGAGAAGCTACGCATCGCATAACGTGGCTCGGCCGTGCAAGATGTATTAGATCATGATAAAAAAAACTGATTTTTATTTTGCCAGTCGCCGGGAGGTCCACATTACCTGCCCGCCTCCTCTTAATAAAAATGGGTTAAATAGCTGTTTGTGCTGTGTGCTAATTTCTTTTTCTCTTTTATGTTCGCAGGTGTCATAATGTCTTATTCTAAGGCGATAGTGTGTTATTTGGCAAGGAAGTGGCCTTAGTGGGAGATTGCGAAATAACGCAATATTATACTACTGCATCATTACCCACAACAGCGGAGGTGGTATTTGTTTTCTCTTTCTGTTACTGCGTTTCACGGACAGTCTGCATGGGGCGTTCCACACTCTTTTCACCTGCCGAAATGTACTGCGTGCTGTGACCGTGCCCTCTATGAGAGACCAGAGCCCTGAGACCCTCTTGGCGGGTGAGAGAGTCATGGTAGCAGGGCTCTGGTCTAATAATAACATCACTTTATTAGCCCTGTACAATTTCTGGCATGAGGAATTGGTCTTGTCGCAGACCCCAGCTGGCTCTCCAGGAGACACACAGACGGGGCGAGAGAGAAGCTGGGGGTCAGAGCACAGGGTCAGCTATTGTACAGCGCCCCTGGAGCAGCTGGGGTGAAGGGCCTCGCTCGGGGGCCCAACGGAGTAGGATTCCTCTGCCGGCTGCGGGATTTGAACCGGCAAACCCTTCCAGCCACAAGCGCAGATCCTGAGCCACAAAGCCACCGGCTCCGCTGCAGGACTTAATCAGACAATTAGTAGATTTATATGACAGAGCAGAGGAATCCCTCATGCTGCAGTTCTGATCGTCACCTCTAGAGGGCCCAAGAAGATGAGGAACACAGCCCTCTTGCTCCCCTCCTTGACTATAATAATAATTGCTTACACCTCTATAGCGCTTTTCTGGACACTCCACTCAGAGTGCTTTACAGGTAATGGGGAATCCCACTACCGCCACCAATGTGCAGCCCCACCTGGATGATGCGACGGCAGCCATAGTGCACCAGAACGCTCCCCACACACCAGCTCTCAGTGGGGAGGAGAGCAGAGTGATGGAGCCAGTTCAGAGAGGGGGGGTTATTAGGAGGCCATTATTGGTAAGGGCCAATGGGAAATTTGGCCAGGATGCTGGGGTTACACCCCTACTCTTTTCGAGAAACGCCCTAGGATGACCACAGAGAGTCAGGACCTCGGTTTTACGTCTCAGCCGAAGGACTTTTCTTGTCGTCTTCTTAATTCATGATGCACCTTGGGTTTGGGAAGGCGCTGGGTCAATAAAAGTTATTAATATTGTCAGTTACAAAGGACATCATGGATAGAGCTATCATTGAGGAGAAATTCACTGGTGGACAGAGATCGGCATGGAGTACTGACACACAGAAGACATGATGGATGGATGAATACCCTCATTCATTTCCTTCAAACCCACTGAAGCTCAGCAGGTGTGAGCCTGGTCAGTACCTGGAGGGGAGACCTCCTGGGAAAAACTAAGGTTGCTGCTGGAAGAGGTGTTAGTGG